ACCTCGGTTTCTCCCTCAGGGTTTGCACAATCGTCTGAACCATTGGATTGCATTACTACCTTGGAATCATTCCAGGTCTCTACTCTTCTACTGAGACAGTAAACTCCTGATAACAAGATCCTGATTTAACTTGTTACTAACACTTAAGTCGCCGTGTTGCCAATAGTGCGGCCGCCTCAAATTTGAAATGTTAATAAGTGACTCCTCTTTTTTGTCACTCTCTTAACTCGTAACTAGAGATCCTAGAGATTCTTCTAAGTACGTGCAATGTAAAATTAATCATAGAACTTGTCTCATACAGTGTCTGGTGTCTTGCATTGCAGAGGCCTCTGCCCTGATCTCTGTCGGGTGTGGGTGCTCAATGGAATCTGGGCATGCAAGCTCAGATGCATCATAAAGTCCTCTGGTCTGTTGGATGGCTGGACTGTGGCCTATGACACGATAGCGTCCCTCCAATAGACCAAAGGCGTCTCTGATGTATCTGAACATGCGTGCCCAACTTCCACTGAGAGCCCGCATCAGTCACAGCGTCCCTTTGTGGCCCAGGAGGACCTATCCCTAACTCGTCACTTCAGATAACCCGTCGCTGAGCTCTTCTCCCTTGGAGTGATGAGTTATCAGGAGTTACTGTAATTCAATTTGTACCCATCCATTAGATTACAGTCTGTAATGACTATCAAATGTCCATTGATTGTTCTACCCCAAAATCCCCAATTGCCACAGTCAGATTACAGACTGAGATCACTCCTTGTAATCCATTATTCTATTCCTAAATCAGCGCCACGATTGGGTAGAATTCTACAATATATACTAAATATTTCCTTACGTGCCCCACAAAGAGCCCGAGAAAGACAAGAGGGGAAATAGAGGGAAGATTTACTTTCATTAAACACACATATTCAAACAAATCCAGAAAAAAATGTTCATGTTAACATTTCAGATTCCTGAAACAAATTCAGGTTCTCACAATAAACAATAATGGCAATAGTGGTATAAACACTGCAATGCAAGCCATGGAGCAAGTTTGTGCTGCAATTTGATCACATAGTTCAGGTGAGTTGGAATTCAAATTCGGATGACACTTTTCTATATATAAACCATTTTATACATTACATAATTAATTCAGGAAATCCATAAATTTATAAGGTATAACAATTTCTCATGTGCACACATACAAACTTCTATTCATAACAGCCTGCAGCTGTTTAAAGAGTAGCGGTTATGTATCAGTAGGTACAAGTTCAACAGAGTAAGAACTTACAGATGGGAAAAGCGCCTGAATTGGTTGCACTTTGAGATGAAGCCAAATTCACCAATTAACTCTGGAAACGTAACATCATCAGCTCTTGCATAATAAGTCCGCTGAGAAGATATCGTGAAATGTTAATAAATGTTGTATTTTAGGATTAGTTGCAACGTGAAGCCTTTTAAAGCAAAGATGAGACAATTATAACCAATAGAGTTCATCCTATTGTAACACATATTAGAATTATTCTTGTGCTACAAATCACAGATTGTTATGTGTCATGTC